CAGCATCACTCTTACAGGAGACATTTTATTTGATCACCAATTGGTTATATATTTGCAGAGGATTGGCCAACAACAAGCTCAACGGGATATTGGATATTGGGACCAGCTATGGGAACAATTTAACACTTGATTTGAGAAATAATTCTATCAAGGACTTCAATCAGAAAACAGGATACAACATGAATATATCGTGAGCAAATTACTTCTCTGTAATTAACCTTCTTATTATGCACATTCTTCTGTTTTGGAGAATAATGTTATATTATATTTTGCAGGCTCGCCGGCAACCCGATTTGTGATGGAACAGGAGCAACAGCCAAATACTGTGCAATTCAGATTTCCAATGATTCCTTCTCATCACCTCTGAAGTGTCCAGCAATGTCTTGCAATTCTGACAAAACATTAAGTCCTACATGCAAATGTTCATATCCATACACTGGGACACTACATTTCTTTTCCCTGTCCTTCTCAAATTTAGAGAACTCTAGCTACTTTACAACCCTTGCTGGCTCTATGATGTCTGCATTTCTATCCAATGGGCTTCCAGTGGATTCAGTTTCTCTAAGTGATCCAACAGTTGATGTTTATTCATATCTTCAAATTGAAGCAAAAATCTTTCCTTCAACACAGGACAGTTTCAATCATACATCAATTCCTTCCATTGGTTACCTGCTCAACCGGAATCCTTTCCAACTCCAATATTTTGGACCCTTTTTCTTTACTTCTGAAAGTTATTGTTGCTTTGCAGGTAACTGAACATGGTTTAAGCAAAAAAAAACATTTTTTTGCTCTTCTTCTTCTCAAATTCTTTTCTGGATAGATATGCAATTCTTATCTAGCTTAACATGTTTGCTTATTTTCGTAATTTAGACGGAAAGAAGAAGTCATCATCACGTACTGGTATCATCATTGGAGTATCGGTTGGTTGTGCAGTGCTTGTGCTCTTAACACTTTGTGCTGGCCTTTATGCTTTTCGCCAGAGAAAAATGGCAAAAAGAGCTGGTCATAGCAGTAACCCTTTTGGTAAGATCAGTTTTTCTTAGATCTGAACCATTTTTCGACATTATTATTTTTTAGCTTCCCAATGATGTCTTCATGTGAATACAGAATCTTGGGACCGTGATACGAGTGGTGCTGTGCCACAACTTAAAGGAGCAAGATGGTTCTCATTTGATGAGATTAGGAAGTGCACAAACAATTTTTCAGAATCTAACTGCATTGGATCTGGGGGCTATGGGAAGGTTTACGATTTCTCTCTTTCTTTCTGTTCCTGCTATAAAGTTCAGCACATATTTAGTGTACTTAAGGTCTTACCTTTTCCCCATACCAATGGATGAACAACATATTGTCCATCTTATGACACAGTGGCATAAATTCGCTTTAACTACCATTTTAAAATGCAATGATGGTCACAGGCTCTTGACTTGTATGTGTTTTTAAAATTTTTGGTAATCGGTATTTATAAGAAGAATATCAAAATATTGGATACCATACCGAAGTACATAGTCACATATACAATTTATATATAGTTCTAGCAAATATATAAAATAGTATTAGTACAAAACTAATTATTCAGACGTTGGAATTTCGACCATCCTATCTTTATTGAAATGTCCTTTTTGTATAATTGATTAATGAAGGAATTTGCATGTTTGTACTTCCTTTTCAATATTTTTACATGTGTAAGGTGTTAGTATGATATAATTGAGATGGTTTTGAAAAGCCGAAGTCATAATTATGAGTATACGTAAGTTGAGTCGGACAAACTATGGTTACCGATTTACTGTACTTAAAAATACCGAAATCCAACTTAAAAAATACCGAACTATACTGAATTAATTTAGTATGGTAATGGTATAGTATATATTTTTAAAAACCAAAAGTACCGAACTGAAGTTTTCAATATAGTACCATGCCCACCCCTAGCTCCAACTATCACACCTAAATAAACCTGTAGATTTTTCAGACAGTAAGTACATTTAGACATCTGGTACACATATCTGAGCAGATGACGAGGAAATGTTTTGAATGAAGTAGTTGTATGTCGATATGGTATTAACATCTTGCACATGGGATCACAAACTTCTTCTATAGATTCACATATTCTAAAGAAAAGTACGCCTTGCCTATATGGTGAAATAGGTAGAAGTGTTTAAGTGAATGACGCAATCTACACTAACTCTTTGTATCTTATCAATTTAAATTTTTTTCCCCCATTTTCCACCTTTAGGAACGATTATGAACTAAACTAGTGTACGATTTATTCAGTTTCTGAGGATGTTGCAAACTCAAAATGAAATATCACTGTGAGGTAGTATTTCTTGGTGTGAAAAGCCAAAGGCAATAAGGAAATAAGTCTCTTGGTTCATTAATTTGCTTCTTCTGTTAGGTTCAGCTGCTGAAATAGTCGTTTCACCCACCTATATGTTTTACCCCTGCCTTATTTGTGTTATTTACCAGCAACATAGGAGCTAGAAGAAATTGCTGAGGCATTTCTAATTGAACTACATTATTATTATTCACTAATAGCTGTTGTTCAGTCATCTAGGACTATATCTTGATTTTTCTGCATGACTGACATATGCATTGCATGGTACAATAATACTGCATCTTTCACACTTTTTGCTAATTTATTTGTAGCATGTCAAATTTTCCAGACTGATACATGTAGCATCAACAGGTCTACAAAGGAACTCTTACTGCTGGGGAGGTAGTTGCAATTAAAAGGGCACAACATGGATCAATGCAGGGGGCTTTTGAGTTCAAAACAGAGATTGAGCTATTGTCAAGGATACATCACAAGAATGTTGTAAGCCTGGTTGGATTTTGTTATGAGCAAGGCGAACAAATGCTGGTTTATGAGTACATTCCAAAGGGTACTCTAAGGGAAAGTCTCTCAGGTAAAAATATTTTTCTGCATTCATCATTCCATATGTTTGCTTCTGAGGAAGCAGATGCTAAGTCCAGTCCAATCTGGCAAATAAGAAAGATTGATATTTCTTCACTAAAACAATATCGATCTGTCCATTGAACTGTCTTGTTCATACAGTGGAAAGTGTTTTATTTACCTTTGTGTAAAATTGAATTCATTATATTGCTTCAGCTCCTTTATCAGACCTGCTAATTTATATGTTTATTCAGCCATTGTCCTCCAAGGAATAACATTCCCAACTGAAACTCTGTCCATCACCATCATGGATTTTCTCTAGTATGATACGAGAATTAATATCAGTGTTTGGGCATATATACAAATTTAATTTGGTTATTCTTAATCTGCATATGGCTCTTGCAGTCAAGCCAAAATTCCAATTGGAGTGGACAAGGAGACTTAGGATAGCCCTTGATGCTGCTAGAGGTTTAGCATACTTGCATGAGCTTGCAGATCCTCCCATAATACACAGGGATGTTAAGTCAAATAACATCTTGCTGGATGACCATTTAACTGCAAAAGTTGCTGATTTTGGCCTATCAAAACTTTTGAGAGACGAAGACAAGGGCCATGTTACCACTCAAGTCAAAGGTACATTGGTGAGTATTACAACCTCAAACCTTGATGGATCAATTTGAGCTGTCTTATAATTCTTATGGATTTGCGTATATCAAACTCTAAAACTTGAAGGCGATTGGTATATCGCCAAGGCTAATATTCTTGATCATGAAATGACTGAACAACATGAAGAAGGATCATTTTGAATCCAATTAAAGAATTAAGTCACCACATGTTATTCATTGTTTAACGTGGTGATAAACTGATATATGCAAATTTTGATTTCAAAGAACATTTGTAATTCCATAATGCACCATCCATACTGCTTCGAAATCCCATTTTCTAAGAATGTTCCTGTGTAGGGATACTTGGATCCTGAATATTACATGAGCCAACAGTTGACTGAGAAAAGTGATGTATATAGCTTTGGGGTGGTGCTGCTCGAGCTGATAACTGCAAGAGCTCCAATAGAACGAGGAAAACACATTGTGAGACTGGTTGCAGAGACCATATATGATTCAAAAGATAACAGCAAACTCTACCAATTAATTGATCCAAGAATAGGTCCAGGTTCAAAACTCGAAGGTGTTGATAGATTATTCACATTGGGAATGAGATGTGTAAATGAATCCGGGGCTGAGAGGCCTTCCATGGGAGAGGCTGTGAAAGAAATTGAGAGTATTCTTGAACTGGCCAGCTTGAGCAAGTATACCGAAGGCGACCTCACTTCGTCTAGCTATGAGGACACAACTCAAGTCAGTCTTGACGATTTTGATAATGACAAGGCTTTTGATTATAGTGGTAAATTTCCTTCTGGTGGCATGAACACCACTTATTGAAACTACTAAGGACTATAACTGTGAGTTATATAAGTTTGTTATTATTGAACATATAACTATGAATTACATTTTGTTTGATTGCTTATTACTAGTGATGCTTCTGTTCTAATACTAGCTATATCAGAAGTCAGAATTACAGATGGCTTCTTGAGATTAAGTGATCTTCATAGTGATATTTGATCGAAATAAAGTAAGATCATACTGTACAGGACTACAGATGAATTTTATAGCTCAAAACTCTAAACTGTAACAAATAAAGAGTTCTCTTGTTACACTGACCTTTGCAGCTATGTCAACAAGCACAACAAATTTAGGATCTTTTTGGCCTTGGACTATGAAGATTGTTTTAGACAATTGCATGATTAGTTGCAAGTAATTTACAGTGTTCAATTTTATCCTGGTTAGAGTTTTGATATTAGGCAAACATCTTCTTGTGAAATTTTAACATTATTAGTTGTATTTTTAATGCGTTGTATCATGTTTAAACAGAATTAAAAGAAATCACCTATAATTTTTTTATTTTGTCTCTGCTCGGATCGTTAGGCTACCCCCCCCCCCCCTCCCCTCTTTAATTCTTGGCATTATACCTAAAAAAAAAAAAGACTATGTCTTCATTGTATTGATTGAACACTCCAACTTACAAAGTGATCATATGAAAAATTTAAAATGAGGATATAAATTGATGTAATGCCTTTCCTCCCAATTTGGTGGCAAGTTATTTTGAGAGCAAAAAAGTGCAGTGGCTGTCCCTTAGATGAACCAACAAAGATTGGTGGAGAGCCTCCAACAATTCCGCCACATTTTGAAAACATGCATAGCCCAGAGAGACCTCTTAACTGGCAAATCTCTGCATACCCTTTACATCAAATCACTCATTCCACCGTCTACTTACTTCTCCAACCATTTCATCCTTCTCTACTCTAAGTGTGGCCTTCTTACCACTGCTCGCAGGGCTTTTGAAGCTACCCCTGAACCCAATGTCTTCTCCTTCAATGCTATCCTTAATGCCTATGCTAAAGAAGCTCAGCCCCACCTTGCCCACCAGCTGTTTGATAAAATTCCCCAACCGGATATTGTTTCTTACAACACCCTTATATCTGCTTATGCTGATCTTGGTTACACCCTGCCTGCTCTTCGGCTCTTTCTTGATTTGAAGGACACGGGTCTTGCTATGGATGGGTTTACTCTTTCAGCTGCTATCACGGCTGCGAATGATAATGTTGATTTCATTACCCAGCTTCATTCATTGTCTATATCCGCTGGGCTTGACTCTTATGCTTCGGTTAATAATACTCTCATCACGTATTATAGCAAAAATGGGCATCTTGATTATGCGCGAGAGGTTTTTGCGTCAATGGGTGAGATAAAAGATGAAGTTTCTTGGAATTCGATGATTGTTGCTTATGGGCAGCATAGGGAAGGGATAAAGGCGTTGGCTTTGTATAAAGAAATGGAACTTAGGGACTTATATTTAGATATGTTTACTTTGGCAAGTGTATTGACAGCACTTACGTCCATGGAAGACTTGAGTGGTGGGCTTCAATTTCATGCTCGGTTAATCAGAATGGGTTTTCACGAAAATCCACATGTTGGAAGTGGGCTGATTGATTTATACTCAAAATGTAGTGCTAGTATGTCAGAGTGCAAAAAAGTATTTCAGGAAATACCTTATCCTGACTTGGTCCTTTGGAACACAATGATTTCTGGATATTCACAGTCTGAATTGTGTGAAGAAGCTGTTGCTTGTTTTAGACAAATGCAGCTTGCTGGCCATCAACCTGATGATTGCAGCTTCGTTTGTGTGATTAGTGCATCTTCTAACTTGTCATCACCATCGCAAGGGAAACAGATTCACTCTTTGGCAATCAAATCTAGCATTTCATCCAATCGTATATCAGTGAACAATGCTCTCATTGCAATGTATTCTAAATGTGGAAGTCTACAAGATGCAAGATTACTTTTTGATAGAATGCCTGAGCATAATGCTGTCACTTTAAATTCCATGATAGCAGGCTATGCTCAGCATGGGCATGGAGCAGAGTCGCTGTTACTTTTTGCATGGATGCTTGAAAGAAATATTACACCTACAAACATAACATTCATCTCTGTCCTATCGTCATGTGCACACACTGGAAAAGTCGAGGAAGGGAAGAAATATTTTGGTTTAATGACTGATAAATTTGGGATAAAACCAGAGGCTGAGCACTATTTATGCATGATTGACCTTTTGGGTCGAGCAGGAAAGCTCGAGGAAGCAGAGACACTAATCGAAACAATGCCATATAATCCTGGTACAATTGGATGGGGCTCATTACTTAGAGCATGTCGAACACATGGTAATATAGAGCTAGCAACAAAGGCAGCTAACCACTGTGTTCAGCTGGATCCATCAAATGCGGCACCGTATGTCATGCTTGCGCACATGAATGCTTGTCTTGGCAGATGGGAAGAGGTAGCATCGATTAGAAAAGAAATGCGAGACAAGGGAGTGAGAAAGCAAGTGGGTTGTAGTTGGATTGAGGTCGCCAAGAGGGTTCACGTCTTTGTGGCAGAAGATAGTTCTCATCCGATGATAAAGTTGGTGTATAAATTCTGGGAAGAGATGTCAAAGAAGATGAAGCAAGAAGGGTATTCTCCCGATTTGAAGTGGGCTATGCTGAGAGATGATGGAACAAGGCAGGAGGAGAAAGAGAGAAGCTTATGGCATCACAGCGAAAAGCTGGCAGTTGCTTTTGGGCTTTTATCGACCAAAGATGGTGAACCTATTCTTATCATAAAGAATTTGAGAATATGTGGCGACTGTCATAATGCAATTAAGATTCTATCTGGTATGACAGGAAGAGAGATTACAGTAAGGGATTGCCACAGGTTTCATTGCTTCAAGGCTGGGGCATGTTCTTGTGGGGATTACTGGTGATAGCGGATAAGTTTAGCAATCAGATGCTAATCTAATTCTAGTCAATTCATGTGATCTCCATGGGCTATGGAGAGTGAAGTTGTGAATGTTATACAGTGTACTTTGAGTTAGTAAGATGGACTAGATTTTGTTCTAAAGAGTTCACAGCATGCAGCTTTCTGGTGTTTGGATTGGATTATTGAGTCTTAAACCATTTTAATCTTATACGTTTAATGCTCTACATGATCTTAGATCTAGCCAGAATTGCTAATCATTTGCAATATATGTGCATTTTGTGAGTAGGGTATGAAGATGACAACCTCTTGTTGATTCACTGCAAGGTAATTACAAGACAACAAAGGAATGTGATGTTACATCTTAAAGAGCTGAAATAATGCATGCCTGAAACAACAAAAGAACCCTACAAAATCTGGGGAAACAAACGAAGAAGCAAGAAGTTTAGTGTGTGCAACACAATCCCAGCTAGCATATGGTAGGTCATATGGAGATAAGGAAATTGTACAAGAAATCATTAAGCTTGAAGGTGGTTGGATAACAACAAGGGTAATATTCTTGACCATGATGACAGAACAACATGAAGTAATATCATTTTGATCCAATTAAAGATTAGTCACTACATGTTATTTATTTTATTTTTTACGTGATGATATTTGCAAATTTTGATATCAGAAAACATTTGTAATTCCATAGTGCACCATCCAGACTGCTTCGAAATCCCATTTTCTAGGGACTAGGAATCTCTCTATGTAAGGGTACTTGGATCCTGAAATTACATGAGCCAACAGTTGAGTGAGAAAAGTGATGTATATAGCTTTGGAGTGGCATTGCTAGAGCTGATAACTGCAAGAGCTCCAATAGAACGAGGAAAACACATGGTGAGACTGGTTGCGGAGACCATATATGATTTAAAAGATAACACCATACTCTACCAGTTAATAGATCTAAGAATAGGTCCAGCTTCAAAACTCAAAGGTGTTGATAAACTATTTACATTGGCAATGAGACGTGTCAATCAATCCGGGGACGAGAGGCCTTCCATGGGTGAGGCTGTGAAAGAAATTGAGGGTATCCTTGAACTGGCTAGCTTGAACAAGTATACTGTATACTGAAGAAGAGCTCACTTCAACTAGGTATGAGGACACAACTCAAGTCAGTCTTGACGATTTCTATAATAACAAGGCTTTTGATTATAGTGGTAAATTTCCTTCTGGTGGTATGAACACCACTAACTGAAGTTAGTAAGGAGTATAACTGTTAGAATTTACATTTGTTTGTTATATTGAGTATAAGTGATCTTTGGTACTTGTGATTCTTCTGTTCTAATACTAGCTATATCTGAAGTCAGAATTACATATGGCTTCTCGAGATTCAAGTGATCTTTATATCGATATTTGATGGAAAGAAAGTTAAATCATACTGTACAGGATCACAGATGAATTCTTTAGCTAAATACCTGGAACTGTAACAACACCAGATTTCTCTTGTTACACTCACCTCAGCAGTTATGTCAACAAGTGCAAAAACTTTAAGAGCTTTTGGTCTTAGATTATGGAGATTGTTTTCAATCATTGCATAATTAGTTTTGATATAAGGCAAACATCCTTTGTGTGAAACTTTGTGCTATTAACTGTATTTTTATAATGGTTGTATTTGGGCCAACTTGTGCGCGTAACGATTTGTATATGGTCCAACTTCGGGATTGGACCGTAATGATTATTGTTAGCCTTGTGGAATTTTAAAATTTTGGATCTAACATTATCTTTTTTCATAGTGGTAAATATTTTTCTGAGTAACATAAACATATATTCCAAGCTCGAATTTATTCTCTAATTCTAATTACATTTTCTCTTTGGAAGCATTTTTTTTTTTTGTCTATGTGTGTGGCAACAGGGTGTTCCTTTTTTCAGGTAATAGAGTTTATACTATTAAGTCTTGAAAAATGCAGGCAAAATAATTTTCTTTGAGCAAATTGACATAATTTTCCAACAATTCAAAATAGGAAGTAAGTACTACTCCAATGATTTAGGACCTGAGAGTAATTTTCAATTCAATAAATTCTTGTCGAATAAAAATAATTGTGATTAATAATTTAGGATGGAAGAAGTGATTTAAATACTATCCACACCTATTCAGTAGTCGTGCAAAAGACTGCTTCATGATTAATTTGCACATTTCTCACATAACATTAGTAGGACAATTCTAAATTTTAAGTGTGTCAGAAATTTAACCTATGTTTACAAGTCAAATTCACTTTTTAAAGAAATTATGTTATTCTCCTTTGTTGACTTTAAAATAATTTGAGAATGGTCTGGGTTTCTATGCTTAACCATATTGTTTTGTCATCCAAAAACATTTGGTTTTTATCCTACTAGTCCTTAGTATTTACATTGAATCAAATAATTTAACGATAAAAATAATTAATTAAATTTATAATGCATATATCATTTAATCACAACTAATTAAGTGCTTAACGCTACATGCAAGACTACTTGTACGTGTCTTATATTCATTTCGATTCACATTGGCATCACAGTCTCACAGATGACTATACTATACCACTTTGATCAATCTTCTATTATGCTTTAAATTCTTACCCACTTTTCATTCAGAAAAAAAAAAAAAAAGATTTTCTCAAAATGACTCTAAATAAGGTGGTTGGAATTTCAAAATATCTTAGTGTGTGTTCGTACGAAGGGAATTTTTTTTTCTTCTCTTGTGTTCGGTACGTAATAAAAATAATAATCCCAAACTAAAAATATTTGTATATGACTTAGAAAATAACTATTTGAGGTAGGGATGTAGGTCATGGATTAAAATGAGGTGTGTTGGAGTATAAAATCAATATGGAATGACACTTTTCCTCATTTTTAAAGGAGTTCGTTTTCTGTAAAGTAAATTTTTCAAGATAAAAAATTACCTAACCGAAACTGTGAAAACTGGAAAAAACTTACGAGGTGCAATACCTAAACAAGTTGCACGCCTATAGGTTATAAATTAATTCACGGTAGGTGAAGTAGTTATGTTCATTTTTATAAAATTGGTCCCCATTTGGTGCCGTCTCCTTAAAAGTTATTTATTGCTCTTTTTTGGTTTTCATGGAAATCCTATAAACAATGCACGTTCTGGTGTTACGGATCATTCATTTCATTTCCAATAAAAATATTCATATAAATATACATACATGGTTTTCCAAAAGAGAGCATAGCTGCGGGATAAATTAAGATAAGAATGCATATTAATTAACCTCATTATTAAGTACAATTAAATAATTTTTCATTAAAAAAATGCCTTTTGAAAAACGGATTTGACCGAACTTAGCAACTTTAATCAATTGTGTTAAGAAATCTATTTATAAAGGGTAATGCTGGCCAGAAAATTTGATCAGAATTTAGCTAAAAATTTAAAAAATCTATAATATCTTTCTAAACGCACAAACTTTAAATCTTTACTTCGCCTGGTTGTGTCACAATTTATGACAACTAGATCAGCCACCTGAGTTGTCATTGACAAATTTCATCTTATCCCATCAAATACATTCAAGTCACTATCGGAATTATATATGTATATGTACATTTTTGAGATTAACTTATATCCACTGACGGTGGAAAAGAAAATTACACTATCATCTCATTTTTAGAAATACATATCAATTTTTTTTTTAAAAATCACATAATATTAATATTATTAAAAATATTAAAAAGAGTGTTATATGATAACTTGGACTCTAAATTAATTATATGAGTTTGTTAAGAATTCTTACTTGACTTATCAAAAGTAAGAAGGATTCTTTCACGCTTTCTTTATCCTTATTATTTTCATGCTCATTCTCCGTCAACACCATTAAAGCAATTGACATACAAAATTGAAGCAATTTGAGATAAAAAGATGATAATTTTTTACTCATTATTATTTTCCTTTTCAGAATCTAAATTAGTAAATACTCAAAGTCGATTGTATAAAAAATATTTCAATGTTATTTCAAAGAGTTTTTTTTCTTGTTCCAATGTATGATTAATTTTATGTTTTGTGGTAACAATGATTTTTAGAGAATGTTTTTTTAGAACTTTTCAGTAAATTGGACAAATCCCAAAAATTAAATGTAGTAATCTTACACTTGAAAAAATAGACACACCATTTCTGTAATTTTGCATAATATTTTGATATTGATAGAAGAAGATCCAAAGACATAGATGAGAAAGGTAGGAAAGAGAGGGAGAAAGATGATAAACCTCAACGTGTTTTAATAAAAGAAAGAAAAAAAATCATTAATTATTAAATGTGAAAATATATTAATTAAACTAAGAAGAAAAATAAGTATTTCTAAAAATGAATTGATTGTGTAATTTTCTTGTCCACCGTTAGTGGATAGTAGTTAATCTCTACATTTTTTTTTTCTTTCTATTTTTTTTTTTTGGTAAATTTCTTTCTCATTTCGTTTGTTATGAATTTCAAAACCCCAAGTTACTTTAAAAGGATTTCTTCTTTTTGAATTTTTTTAAAAACATTTTTCATTTCAAGTCACGATTCTTACATTTTTTGTGGTATATGAAAATATAATTTCATCAATTATTATTTTCAACGAAATTTATCATATGTGTTTTAATTAAGCGGAGTATTTTTAATCCAATAAAATAAAAAAGGTCAATAATATCATAAAAGCAGGAGCTCTTTGAATGACGGTATATATATGGTGATTAAAAGTACTTACAAGTGCTAGAGCTGATTTTAATGAATGAACAGTCACATTTTTAATAGATTGAAGCATGAAATACGTATTAGATCATCTCCAACCCAACACCAAAATTTACATCAAAGGTAGCTTTTTTTATAAATTAATTTTTCTATATATGACTTTTTTTTAAAATTAAATTTATGTTAATTCTACTATAAATTTGTAACATCCGACAATTTGAAATAGCTTTGAAGATGCTTAGGATTGGAAATTTTCATTTTTTGGAAAGAATTTTAAAGTTTTGGCTAAGTATGGAAAATGTGAATTTTTGGCCAACTTTGAACAGCCATAAATTCTAGCTCAGGATGAGTTAGGTGGAATTCCAGTTATGGTTGCAAAGTTCGTGGAATGATCTTTCTAACGCCACCGAGTTTGCTCAATTCCGAGTCCGTATGAGCGAGTTATGGCCA